GGGGGGTGTATTAAATGAACCAACCAGTGTACCCATCTCGAAACAGTTCACGCAAATAGATTGCCTATCTTCCGTGTACACATTCTAGAGAAATCGACGACCAGAGTTCCTCTGGGCAATCCATTGTGTCGTCTTTGTAGAGCAGCTTTCTTTGAAACATCACAGGCAAGCCGAGCTTTTTCACTCGGTTTTTTCTGCTTTGACCGAATCCTACAGCAGTAGACACAGTAACAAAGCTAAGGCAGGCTAGGGTCAGAGGTTGATCATATAAATCAGACACTAGCTTCGCACTGCTGTGGTAATATGTTCTTAAAAAGTCCATCACTGCTTTCCTTTCCGGAAGTTTGGTGATGTCATCGTGGTGAAGGAACCAATTCAGAAGAAAATACCGTGCGACATCCGTGTGCCCAGAGAGTAGAGCTACCATGAGGGGAGTTACAGGACCCAGCTTTGAACTTCTCAAGTCGTGCTTGGATGACTGCAGCGACGGATATGCCTCTAATTTCAATAACTTTATCAATAAAGAACAGGGGATGTCTTTCCATAAAACCAAATGAAGGGATGGGCCAATAAACGGGTCTTTGTCAAGCAGTTTGTCAAGTAGCTGCCATGAGTTTTCTCTTTCGGGACGAAAAAAACTTCGCATGAATTTTTCTATCACTCTGTTGCCGTATTTGTCACAAATCGTTACGTCAGACCCTCGATCAACAAAGTTCTCAAACCACGTCAGTTTGTGGTACTCGAGAGCTAACATGGCCACCGTACAACCTTGATCATTTTGAAGATCCAAATCCGCTCCGCGTTTTACAAGCAGATCAGTAGTATCAGGGGAGTTCCAGCGAGTTGACAACATCAAGGGCGACCAGCCGTTAGCATTCTGGTGATCAAGTTTACCCCCGTTGTTCAAAAGATACTCAAGAAAAGAACTATGGTTGTAGGTCGCGGCTTCAGACACAGCTGTGTTCCCTTTCTTGTCCGTGTCCTCCAGTTTTGCTCCATCGGCCAACAACAACTTACCAATGCTTACAGAGCCTGTTCTCGCAGCCCAGGTTAATGGCGTGTCACCGTGGGCATTGTCGTGATGGTTTACGTCACTGCCGGCGGCGAGCAGAACATCAACAATCTCCTCATGGCTCTGCCGGCATGCACAGATAAGGGCTGTCAAACCAGCGCCGTTTTCTGCATTCACATCAGCCCCAGAGGCTATTAAAAGCTGCACTACTTGACTGTGCTTAGAGTATGCGGACAAAATCAGGGCTGTGTTTCCTTGCCGATCTGAATGATTCACATTTTCGCCTGCTTCGATCAGCATCTTACATATCTGCAGCATTCCCTGTTCGCTGGCTATACTCAGCAATGTTTTGTTATCTTTATCCATGAAACGACACGCAGCGCCAGCTTTAAGCAGTATTTCTACTATGTCAGTTCTTCTACACCGCAAAGCACAGGCTAGAGCTGGTCCATCATACCTTGTAATTGTGTCTAAGTCAGACCCAACACCTGCTAGATACCGTACGATCTCTGTATGTCCTCGGCGAACAGCCAATGTTAAAGCAGAACTGCCTTTGCGCCAATTCATGGTGCTTGCTCCCAACTCAACCAACATTTTCACAACTTCCAAATGACCTCCTTCAACTGCTTTGGATACTGGAGAAAGGTTATTCTTTTTAGAAGACATTGCAAACTTAGCCCCGTACTCGATAAGACACTGAATTATTGGAGCATTGCCGATGTAGCAGGCTGCTGCAAGTGCGCTGGTTCCTCTCTTGTTTCGCAGCGCCACATTGGCTCCTGCAGACAGTAATGCCTCTACATTCTCCAACTTCCCTCCTTCTGCTGCTTTGATCAGTGCTGTACAGTTGCTCGCGTCTCGGGTGTTCACGTGAGCTCCGTGGCGTAGCAGACATTGCACACAGTCTGCAGTACCATTGCCAGCAGCAAACAAGATCAGGGGATTCGCATGACCTGCTCCAGCAGTCAGAAGATTGTCCAGTTCCTTAATCTTTCCCTCCCGGATGGCTTCTTGCAGCCTCCAGTGAGGAGCATTAATTGTTGACATGGCTCTGAACGACTACCACACCCTGGGGTGACGAAGGAATTCTCACTTGGTTAAGATTCGATGCTGTTGGGCCAAACAGAGTATTCATTATTATCTGACGATACTTATACATGTATAAATATGTATATGACATACTGTGCGATTTTGACATTGAATGAGATATTGACCGGCAGGGACACAATATAAATATATA